ATATATAAATATTTAATAAGTCTTTATATATAAAAATAATATAAAATCTCAAATTTTATAAATAAAAATATTAAGTATATTAAGTATATACTATAAATCTTTAAAAAGTATATAAAAATACTAGTCTAGAGTATGTCGGGGAAGCCTCGGGTAAATACAGCTTTTGTTATCAATTGCGAGCAGGCCGCATTGTCAACACCTATCACCACTTCAACACTCAGATAATCGCATTTTAACATGGATTCTATAAGCTTGAGCGACTGGTTATCGGTGACCTCAGCTGGCGACACCAGCTTTGGTCACTACAAGTATGAGCCAAGCCACTCACCCACACACGAGATGTGGTATGAGATCCTCCTGACCCTTCAGTAGCCAGGGTGCTCACACGGGTTAGTGGTCGTGCACCCTGGTACGGCTTGCAGCCTTTGGAACTTTTCTCGCGTATTTTCAGCGTTGGGTTGGGAAGTGTCCGCCCACCTGATGACCTACGCGGAATGGTTAAAGCTCGTCAGAGACTCCTGGTCAAGCTCAGAACCTTTTTCAGAGGCTGATCGAACGACTTTCGTCTTCGAAATTGACCCAGAAATGAGTGTTTCATGTGCCCTGGCGCTCTGGGTCAGTGTTCATGCTGCGGCCGAGATAGCGCCTGGCAATGTCACACGGATGCTGACAGTATCGTACACCGACGTCGATCAGGCTTTTGTGAGACTTGTCGAGCACTATGGGTACGAATCGCCACGGCTTTTCACTCATATCAATAGGACCGTGTCTGATACCGAGCCTGAAGATGTGCGAACCATCTACTGTGCGTCCAAGTCTGAGCTCAACAGAAAAGCGATCGAGAGAATTGAAAGCTTACAAGGAAAGCAAATTGTCGTCGACATCGCACCTTGTTACCTCGCGAAGATCCTGGATCTGGACGATTCATGGAAACACATTTCTGTTGACTCGGACGATATAGAAATGATCTGGAAAGTCTTTTATGGAACGTTCGAGGAGAACATTGTCCTCCGTGTGCTTCCTGGCTTTTGTTCTCCATTTCCTCTTCATGGATATGATCACGTCCATGTCATCGCTGAGTCAAATCCTACGACCCTTGAGACTGACATGGCAACTAATCAACTGACGTTCTCCACGAGACAGTGGAGTATCCAAGAACGACAACAAGTCAGGACGCATCTCCGCCGCTTTGGCACCAAGCCTTCAACGACTGCATTTTATGTAGATCGACCAAAGAGAGAAGATGCCAACCTTGAATGGTGGGATGACGGGCCTGCCCTTCGCCGACAGATCGTTTGGAGTCTCAACTTGGGAGCTTTCATAGCCGCCGTCACCTCGCTTGGTTCCAAAGTCGATGCGGCTGCTGTGGTTCAATGTTTTGTTCCCGAAGGTATGAATACATTGTACAATACCATGGTGAAACGCCTACATACGCAAGGCATCATCAACCTTGAGCAAGATGGCCATCTGACCATGAACCTCGAGGGTCGGGAGTTGACAGCCTTTGCTGCTGTCCTCCCATGGGTGAGCTACGACTACCGCCTGGCATACCTCATCGCGCAAGAGTCCGAGACTGAGGACGACGAGGTTCTTCAGGTCAAGATCCAATTAGCCGCAGTGATAAGCGTTGGAGGTCTCTCACTCTTCGACTTCGATAAGAGTCTAGACGATCCAGAGCCAGCCGACACTCTGGAAGCAGTGATCGAGGCGTGCACCGGGAACAGTGCCTCTTTAGGAGACGAGGGAAACATGTGGCTTGCGCTTGGTCTGTGGAACCGAGTTGGCAAAGATTCCGTGAACTTCTCTCAGGTTCCTGATTCTGATTCGGTGCCGATCTCAGGCATTTCAGTGCGTGCGAACTGGTCTAGCTGTGTCCAGGTGCATGAGCTCTGGAAAGGTATTTCCTCAGCCCTTGCAGCAAACGGTATTCACACGGTCCGAAGGGAACTTACAACTGAGACTCAAGCGCTCTCGCGTAACGGCTGCAGGGCAATAGGCACTCACTTGTTCAAGGCGTATCTATCCCAGCTAGTTATGCGTGGGCCATGGCCAGATGAAGTCGAATTTTTGGATGTATCGACACGACGTACGATAACTGGTTTTGTGAGCAAAGCTGGAATGACGCTTGACTCCGAGAGTATCCAGCCAAGCTATGTGCCTGTCTTCGGCATTTACCATCACCTCATTCGACTTGACGGTAAGGTCTGTTTCAAGGACTGGACAAGAGTCTGTCCGCGGATTGTGGATGACTGGATCCTAAACAACCGAGACAGGTCGGGAGAATATGAGAGTGTCATTGAGACATATGACAAGGATGAGACCCTGCCTAGACCGGACTATGACGAGTACAACTAGGACTTGGGAGGATAGGAGGATGCGAGCATGCTTTGTGTTAGAGTTTGAGAGTTAGATTATACCCAGAGAGCAGGCTGTTGTCAATACGGACTTTGTTTGTGCTTACGATCATCTCAAATTAAGTGACCAAACGGGTGAGGATCTCTTGTGTATGTGCGAGGATGACATGAAGAGCCTAAAGTGAACGTGACGATAAACAGCAGCTCAGGTGGTGATAGACATGCCAATGGACACTTCAGTCAGCACATTTCCAACAACACACTCGCAGTAGATTCGAGACTGAAGCTAGCTTGAATGTGACCATGGCCCAGAGGACAAGCCGGCGTTTGGAGTCTACCATGGCCTCCGTCGATACAATGATGGCAGTCTCGAGTTCCAAGATTTAACCTTTATATCTTCAGACTTGTGAACGATTGGGTGTGAAAATCGTGACCGAGTGGGAGACTCAAAACTGGGGATTGAGAACATGCTCAGGGTGGCGGGTGGCCTGAAGCCCAATTACGACGGGCGATAAGGTATGGAAACCAAAAGATGAGTAGATATACTACCAAATAACACTTGATTTTCAACAAGCAGCTTCTCGTTGATATCCAACGTGGAGATGGCAATGTAGGCACAATCGATGAAAAAGCAGCAAGTGGTCTATGGTAATCCTTCTTGTCTTGCTTCTTGCATTTCCTTGCCTTCTTATACTTCCTCGCCTTTTTCCCATTGCCCTTTAGTGTCACGCAGCGAATGGCCACCATTCATTCACAAGACAATAACACTCAAATTCAAGAGCATCAACAGTGCTGTAGCAGAAGGTGAGCCCATTGAGGGTAAAGGGTTACTCAACATCGAAATGTAATACCCCATACTTTACCCCCAGACCGATACAATACTCCAGACTCCATAGATTAACAAAGGCGATAAAATGCAGCATGTCACGCATTTCACAGTTCAAGGAAACATTTAACGTAGAGATGACGACAGTTCAATTGATCAGACTTGGTGACCATTCCACTCTACTACCCACTCATACCACCCCAAGCCATTACCACCCAGGGGGACAGCCCTTGGCGCGGACGAACCTCTTTGCGTCCTTCAGCTTAGCCTGGCGTCTCTTCATGTTTTTGACACCCATATCCTCATCGTCGTCGTCGTCGTCATCGTCGTCGTCGTCGTCGTCATCGTCGTCATCGTCGAGAATTTCGCCATCGCTGCTATCGTCATCCCAGGGTTGACGTTGCGATGCATCATGATGCTCCTTTGCATGGGCAGGGTTTACCGCCTCGGCAAGCACAGGCCCTGGAGCAGCCGCAGATTGTTCAGTGGGCAGAGGAGGACTAGCAACCCGAGCGTTGCCAGCCATGTCGACATCCTCCTCCTCCTCCTCCTCCTCCTCAGGCACAGTAGGTTCCGAGTCAGGCACCAAGGAAGAACCCTGAAACGCCGCCGCAGCTTTCTCACCCATGGCTTTCTCTTTCTCGTCCCTCTTCAGGCTCTGATAGTAGGCGACTACATTAGGCCACCCATTCACACTGGGATCCACAGGTAATTTCACCTCACCGAGACCCTTCTCCTCCACCATGCGCTGGAGATCATCGATGCAGCCGACGATGGACTTGGTGAACTCAGGTGTCCACGGGAACTGAGAATCTTGCCTAAGGTCACTTTGGGGGATATTCTTGTTGACAAGGGGATACCAAGTCTTGATGTCCAAGAAGCTTGGCATGTTGCGTCGATTGTTGATGAAATATCGGACGCTCAAGAGTTTGTTGTTCTTGAGAGCTGGGTGAGGACAGTTACCGGCACTATGCTCCATCGTGTTGCATAATGGGCAGCCCTTCATGTACCCGTCCGCACCAGCCTTAAGGCATTCAGCCAGAGTGTGCTTCTCTGACTTGCAACCAACGCAGAGGGGGTGTCTCTGAGAGTTGTCGTCAGTTCGGCCTTGGTCTTGACCGCTTTGCTGACCAGACTCTCGTTGGTCCGCCAGCTGCAAGAGCGCAGCTTCTCTAGCCTTTCTGGCGGCTTTCCTTGCCGCGTAGGCCTCTCTGTCTTCCTCATCGATTGAGATCCGATTCCTCTTGGCGTCCTTGGCGAGCCAGTCCTTTGCGTTGGTCATGGTGAGGTAGCCAGTTATGATATCATCGGGTCTCCGTGCCGAGACAAAAGCAGTGATGCCTTCATGTCCGCAGACCTCCAAGGTCCTGGAGGTGTTGCCTGTAAGGTCCGTCATGCACATCTCGTTCAGTACCAACTGACCGGTTTGCCCATGCGTTAGGCCAACCTGTTGTTGACCGAGCCCATTCCCCGACTTCTCGAGCGTCAGAGCGTTGCGAGGGAGGACGCTCATGATACTCCCACGGCTGACATTTCCGACTGACGAGTTGTGCTGTCCGCTCTGTGGCCCAGCACGACTCGCCAACTGCTTGTCGTCGTCCTTGTCCTTGGCCTTAGGCTTAGGGACATTCTGGGACTTCTCATTGTCGTTGTCGTTGGCCATTTTAAGGAGTGACCGTGTGTCGCGCGTAGGTGTTCAAGGTATTCTTTTGTGTCGTAGAACTGGTGTTTGCGTGAGTGTGAATGTTGTTGTGGAGAGATTACTCTCGCCAGCTACGAATAATGCTAGCCGATATCAGGGTGGGTGGGGCAGAACCGGTTGCTCCACCTCTGGACTGTATCACAGTGAATAATTTGACTGCAGCGGGTTCTCAAGCCCAAGATGACTTTGATACTTCGGTTAGCAGACTCGCAGGACCAAATTCGGAGGAGTTTGGGGATTGAAGGCCAGTGCAAATATGGCAATGTTCCAGACCATGAGCCGGCTTCTGGAGTTTATCACTCTCTAGTTCGAGATAAGACGGAGGTCAACTTCTGAGAGAGGGCAATCATTTTAGGAAAGATTACCGGGACCTGAATCAATCTGTTCTGAGACAGCGTGAGAGGCACTCCGTATTGGATTGAGTCTATTCTCAAGACTGATGGCTGTACTATACTGGGTTACAATGGTATGAAGGGCGAAGTTTGGGAGGCACCAGATTATTTTCCACCACATGTTGGACACCAAAACACGTTGCCTACCGACATCTAACACATTCTGGGGTTTCACTCTGGATTTACGAAGACAGTGATAAAAACACAATCAATTAGACTTTGCTGTAGCCACCGTCTGGTAATGCATCCCTATACACCCCAGACATTCATATCTAAGAACGTGACACGCAGGAGTCATTGTCAGGTAACCTTTTCCACCGGAGCCTTCTCCTTTGGCTCCCTCATCCACAGCATGTCGTCGCTACCCAAGAGAACCTCTTCATCGTACTCGATGTTACATTTGACTTCGTCTTTGCCGGCCGTTCCACGATGAGGGTATAGCTTTGCTGTAAAGATTAGGTCAGACTGGAACTCAACAACCACAGGCTCTCCAGAGCGAAGGGTAACATCAGACTCACCTTGGATGTGAACAGCACAGTCAGGTTTCTTTGACTTTGGCCATGTCATCCAGCGGCTTGGACTTGGTTTTGGCATCCTCATCCTCAAGCGTCTCATAGTCGATCAACCACACCATGCCTAAGAAGTCGTTGGCACCGGGGATAATCAATCCCTTGATGATCTGGCCGTCTTTCTGCATTGAACGCGTGATTTCCTCGACCTGCATGGCGCAAGACGTGTCATCATATCGGAAAAATACGGCGGGTGGTGACCGGCGATAGTGGACACAACCAACTGGTTTCTCCCCAGCTGGCCAACGTACTGGTTCAAGTGTTGTACAGCGTATCGCACGATCATGCCATTGCCCATTAGGATGACTACCCTATCACTCGGGGGATGCTTGAAGGCGCTGTGTGGCAATACGTGCAAAGGGGGGCCAGAGATATTTATGTCATCGGGGACTTGCTTCTTCTTGTCGTCGTTGTGGGCCATTTCGTTATATGACCGTGTGCTCGGCACGCGTCCTGTAGATGTCGTCTTGTGGTGGAGAGAGACTGTGAGCGGAAGTGTGAGACTTGTTGTGAAGAGTTCCACAGGTGAGCTGCGGCGTGCCGCAGGTAAGTACCTCAGTGAATGCAGAAAAGCGGGGCAAACATGGTTTTGTTCAAGGGAACGTCTACAGCACATGAACCACACCCTATGAACTGGATACCTCGCATCTGAAAACACCAGCTTAATATTGGGCTATCAAGTACTCGAGACTTACAGATTCAGAAATGACTCTTCATACTACCATTTGGATCTACTGGTGTGTGATGAACGCGATGCAGCATTACTTTCAACTTGAGTTGCCAGTCATTCAGGAACAGATGTGAGGCCATGGGTATTGTATTTGTCTGAGAGTGCTGCAGCTACAACTATGTACCAAGGCGGCTCGATTCGCCAACAGGGGCCAGCGCTCAGGTTTGAATTCGTCTAGGTACAGAGCCTAACCTGAATTCATGTCTCGAATCTTGTACGTGCTATCATCCTTAATCCTACCCGCTCATCGTACTAGTCTTCATCTCCACATGACTGGCGATGCATGGAGTATAAATCATCTAGTCTGGCGGACACACGTTCAAGCTTTCGGTTTGGAGATACTATTGCCTTACACAAATGCTGGCGAAGTGTCGTTGACGCTCCATGGTAAACCGTGGACAGCCACTCCGTCATGTAGCCCCAGAACCTGAGAAGCTCAGCCCAGTCGTAAGCCTTGTCCCCACAACCCTTGGCGAACCCCAATGTGAGAACTTCGTGGAATTCAGTGTCCTTGCTGTCGTTTGATGTTATCTCCACTTTGAGAGCTAAACCTCTAGGGAGAAAGTCTCTCGTGATTTTTGCCAAGTCTTCGAAGTTTGCGCCGGTGACGAACCAGTTCAAAGGGGCTAAATCCGGCAACTTCATCTGAAACGGCCCGGTGATCGGTGGTCTGAATGTATCGTCTCCACCTGCAAGCTTCCAAAGGCCCTGTCGTAGTGAATGTGCAGATGAGCCTCGCGGCAGCGAAGATGTGAGTACTTTTAGGTTGATTTCTGGTGGAACAGTTGAAGGGGCTTGCGAGACTGAGGCACCAGCATCATTTGACGAGGCATCTGAAGTTGGGTTCAAGGCCGGCAAAGGAACTTGTGGGACAGACGAAGACGAGGCGTCGGAGGGAGCGGCTTCCAGGCTGATGTCGGATATCCAAGACTCTCTCTTGGCTCTCTTGCGTTTCATTCTCATCCTGTCTCTCTGATACTTGATGTACTCGGGTGATGAGGGCTGGCTGTCTTGGGTCATTTGAGGCGTTATTCTGAATGGCCATGGCGGGATCTTGAGCAGAGACTGAGGCGCCATCTTATCCTTTATGTCGCTGACTAAAATGTGGTTAGTTATGGCAAAACCAAATCCTAAGTGAACTCACAGAACGTCTCCCACACCTCGCGATCGACCAGAAAGTCGAATACAGGAGCTTGAACCTTCTTTGTCTGTTTGGCGTGATACTCTTCGCAAAGTTCGCGGCACGCTGTCTCCCATCGCCAGTCAAGAGTGTTTGCCCAATCTGGGTACATATACACAATATGCACGCACATGAGGGCGGCGGGAAGCTGTGGATGAGACATTCACTGGCTCGGCCACCTGGAATCTGCCTTGACGTTTACCTATTGGACTCAAGTCCAGGTAGTCGTCAGACATGATGAGCGCGCTGTTCTGAGGGCGGTGGCTGGTGGTTGAAGGTTGAGGGGATGTGAAGAGGAGGAGTTCAGAATCAGAAGAGAGAGCGGAACAAAAACAAGATGCAGCTTCGGGGGTAGGTTAGTCCGTGCAGCTTCGGGTGTGGTGGTACCAAGAACTACACAGCTGGGCCGGTGCACTGCCATTCACTGCGGACTGATGTCGTGTAACACACTGCAAGATCACTGCCATCACCCGTCTTATCTTCCTCTTCTCAAACATACCTTGGCGCACATCTCACCACGGCACACCCAGCGATAACGATGGCAAAGAAGAAGTCACATAAAAGCTTCAAGTCCTTTGCAACAAGAGGCGATTCCCACTGGCCGACGCACCCCTCGGAAACTCAGAAAAACAAACCTATCGAAGCATCGACCGTCACGCAAGACACGAATGAGATGGGGGGTATTGAGGGACCTGCTGCTAAAAGGCGAGCCTTGGGCACCGGCAAACTGAACGCTAGATCCTTCGAGTATCGCGACCTGCAAGTCAGAACACGACGAAAGGCGGAGTGTCCTTCCAACCCCAAGAAGAAGGGTCAATCGATGTGTATCCGCGGTCGAGGACAAGACCGAGACGCGACACCTCATTGTGGTAGCTTCCGCCATAGTTTTCAAGTGCGAATCCGGGACCTCTCCCCTGTTGAGGATGAACCAGAGTTGAAAGACGATGATCCACATGCTTCCCAGAACGACAACCCCACAGCGACTGGGAAAACAAAAGCAACCTGGATGAGCCAGGAAGAAGCCAACACTGCTTTCCTTTGTCTTGGACCTCTTGATGCGATCCGTTAGCTGAACCCCTTTTTAGGAAGATGGTAGGTGCATTTTTTGACATCAGCCCAAAGGGACTTGAAAGGCTGAGCAATGAGGAAGTGGAGCAGGAGAGCGAGGAGGAGGATGAAGGTGATGTTGTGGGCGGGGATTGAGCTGATGGTGAGGCGTCTGACCATCACTCAGTATTGTCTAGTTGCCATCATCGGGACTTAAAGCGTCTCTCTGCTTGGACTTCGACCTCTGGTGGGCTATGGTACATTACGACAGTGTCGAGAATGAACAATCATGATCACTCTCTAAAATAAATGTTTGCAATGTGTGTGCTTTCACACACGTTGATGTAAGACAGGATGTCCCTAAAGTCAACGGAACCCTAGCCGGTTATATCTGATGCGAAAATCCAAAACCCAATCGTGAAGCATTATTGTGTTTCAATCTGATACAGATTTCATATCTGAGTAAACACCAGACCGTGAGTGTGTCTCTTCAACCATCTCAACAGTCTTCTCTATCCAGGCAGTGACAATGGCATCGACAAAGTTTCATGACATAGGAAACAAGTAGAGTTTTCGTGTGATGAACTGATAACAGACGGGGATAAGACACCAATTCATTTGAATAGCTTTCTCATTTCTTTGGTTTGATCCTCTACGGAAAGGTACGACAAAACCCACTTCACAATTCCTGACCCCCAAATAGCACTGTCAGCTCCTCCAGACCAATGCCTAGGGCTCAGAGGAACCTCTCTGCTGGTTCAGTTGAGTGATCTCATTGTTCTTGGTGTCCAGTGTCTTTCCCAACTTTCGATTGTTAGATGACAAGTTCTCGGCGTTTTCTTGAGTTCTCTTACCGTCAGAGCATTTGCTATGATCTCCCAGATAGCCAATATTTGTCGCTTGCTCGGCATGAGTCTTCTTGTGCGCCTCAAGGAAAACGAGCATGAGCCGGAAGTTTGCGTTTGGGAGTTGCCTCCAGTCGTGTTTCCGCCTGCTTCTTCTGCTCAGCCATCAATAGGCGCATGTTCTCCTCTTTAGCCTTGTACAGATCCTTTTGTTCTTGGAGTTGACCGACAAGGAAGTTGTTCATCTCCTTGGTCATGGCGATCATGTCGTCTTTGTCTCGGCGGTTCTCGCGCAGATCATTCACGGACTCCTTCAGGGCTTTGATCTCTTCATCCTTGTCTCTGAGTTCGGCCTCGTGTTTCTCTTGGAGTGCGGTGACTTCGCGTTGCTGGTCTTGCAAAGGTTGTCGTGTAATGTCGCAAAGAGCAGTTTCAGTCTCATGCATGTCTGTTAGATGGCTCAAGATGGTTGAGATTGCCTCGTTCGCCCGCTCCGTAAGTTCCTTCTTGTCACGGTGATGCATAATATCCAAGCAAAGGCGCGAGGTAGCCCGACACGTAGATTTATAGGCCTCGGAGAACTTCTTGTGCAGGGATTGGCAAGCCTGGTTGTGCTTTGTGAAGCACGCTTCGAAGGCTTCCTGCTGAGACATGCTGGAAAGAAGATAGATAGCGGGCGAGTGTGGGAGGTTACGGCGCCGTCTTCTTTGGCCTCTTTGCAGGATTTGTAAAAGGGCAGGTGTGAGATTGAGTGACTGGTCTTTGCGGTGAAGTTGTGGCCTGCACTCAAGTGACACAAGCTCCACTTTAGCAGATGTGAATCCCAGCAAACAGCTTCTTTCACAAACGCCACAGGTGGCTAGGTAGGTAAGGACAGAAGCCGACGGTCAACAGTCCCACCTCGTCGCAAGGGAAAAGACTGTCCCAGGCGCCCAAGATAATGGGCTCCCGCGGTGTGGGGTTCAACGCCAACGTTGACAGCAGAGTGTGTCCGGGCTGTTTTTTCACACCATGAGAAAGATCAGCCAATCAGGGACCATAACAAAAGCACTACGGCAGACATCTCTACACAATCTCTTCAACGAAATTTCACGATGCTGAGTTCTTCGGGGGAAAGTAGTGAGTAAAAGGTTTGATGAACGCTAAGTCTAGAAGCTGGCTCAACCCATGATGTACAAATGTGAAAGCGACACAGATGCTAACTACTCTATCCTCCATCTAGTCATCTTCTTCATCCCCTGACTCATCCCCAGAGTCACTATCAACATCATTGCCACCTCCGACCGCACCTCCTGTTCCAGCTCCCTCGTCACCGCTATCCTCATCATCACTACCACCGTCCAGGAACGCGTTGGGTACCGTCGCCACAGCGCTTCCCGAGTCACCCACGGGGTCCAGCGCCTTGGCCGCAACGGCATCGAAGCCTGCTGTCTTGGCTTGGGCCAACCGAGCAGTGAAGGGACCGAAGCCTCTTTCGTGAAAGCCAAGGAACGCACCAGGGTTTGAAGGGTCTCCTCTAGGAGGCCTCTCAGACAGCGCCCATCCCATCACTGCGTTTCCAACAGCAGCTTCAGGACCGAGACCTAATGTGCTGTCGAGACAGTTCTCACAGAGGAATGTGTACAAGAGGGATGTCTCGTTGACTGAGACGCCATCTGGTATCGGTCTCACTTTGAAGTTGCCCTTGACTTCCGCAGGGTTATCCTCATCGATCGCTTGTCGAAACGAAGCCATGACTCCTCCTTTTCCATCTGGCCATGCAGCGAGGATGAAGTTTCCTTCCATATCTCCCGTCAAGCCCGCGGCACCCCATCCTTCGCCATTGGCTAATGGAAATTGTAGTTGGCCGATGAAAGACCCGGCAGTCCCGTTCGCAGGCGCAGAGTCAGGCAAGGCGAGGGCAAATGTGAAGGAGGTTCGGACACCAAAGAAGCGCTCCATTGTGAGACCTGTGACTTGGTCGACGAAGGGCTCGGAGACTTGGTCCGTTGAGGATGTAGGCTCATCGTCGGCTAAGGCGAGTGCGGGAAGGAGAAGGCTTGTGGCGAGGATTCGATGAGGGTTGATGTGTCTTTGACGTGTCGTTCGTCGGTTGTGGATGTTTCGAAGAAGAGGCATTTTGGGGATGTGTTCGTACTGGGTATCAAGAAATGAACTTTTTAATGATGCTATTGAATGAACACTGAGTATAAGGTGATGAGAGTTAGTAAGGAGACCGAACACAGTCCAATATTTATACTCCTCACTCCAGTGAAGCCAAGGAATACAGAAATAGCCTCAAACCTTTCTCCCTCAGAGGGAGCCAAAAACCAGGCCTCTCCCACCCATTTTCGTTCTAATTCCAGCACGCGACCGTTTCGCGTCCCCATCTAGACTCAAGAAACGGTCGCTTAAACAATCTCGTCTGAAGCTCTTCTGTTTCCAGCACACAGCTCCGTCTTATCGCCACTGAAACGGTTCTGTTTCTACTATTAATAGGAACCGTTTGAAGCTTAGAAATATGGTTGCAATTGATGTAATTGTGATTGGCTCGAAAATTAAAGATGAAACGATGCGAAACGTTGATTTAGCCTGTTTGTCGGTTGACGTCGTCGCTTAAGTGAGGATGAAACGTTTTGAGCCAGAGGTTTAGGTTTCGAGCGTCCCCGCAGCGACCTTGGCAAGTTGCCGACAACCGTTCTGTTGATGGCTTTCTAAATTGTTTTTCTGTCTCTTACATGATCTTTTGTCTTTTTTCTTTTTTTGGAAATGGAAGAGGTTGTGACAGGACGGGTGGTTACCCACTTCTCGTTCGGCGTTCAGGCTGTCAGTTATCACGCTTGCTCTCCAGTAAGAGACAGCTTCAATACGCTCCAGGTATTGTCCTCCAGTCCCAGCCTTGATTCTCAATGAACGTATCAGCTTGGCTGGTGCTGGGAAGTGTGCCGAAACAAAGACATTACAGTCACTTCAAGTCCCAAGTCCTTAAACAAGACGCTACAGTATCACGCTTATGATGGGTTGTCCTCATCCCTAACAATCCCAAACATCATGTTGGGGAAACTTCACAATCTCTATTCTTTCCTCTCATTAATTTACCCAAAACCCGACTTAGCCGTGGTGGCAAGCACTGAAGATACCATGAACAAGACAATCGGTATGTCCATTTGCGCCTTCGTCAATCATTTACGCCTCTCCTCTCTTCCAATACTTCAAATGCATCTTCCCGCCGTCCCACCTCATACTACTGCTGTTGGCTTGGATGGCCAGTGTTCTCGGCGGTACTCTCTGTACAACGACTCTCACTGACAGCGTCGACAAAAGGGCCGATCGAAGAGACCGGATATATGACCTAAATCACCGAAACTATCAGTCATGTCTTCTAGGAGAATTCAGTCAACGTACTCATCGATACCAGCTCAAGAGTCATCCATCTGTCCATCGTCCACGACCACCTCATACTCAAACGACCGAAGCCGCTCATCGCGGCAGAATCTTGCTGCAGCTTCATAAGCAAGCAAAAGCAACTTCAAGGCCTCGTCACTCCCTTCGATAAGAACGATCTGTTGAGAACCATCCGCCAAGTCACGCAAACTGACCTTCTGTTGGTGGCTTGGCAGGCCGTAGCAAGTTTGTAGTGCTAGACTTTGGAAATTCCCTTGCCCATCGATGGCGCCGACAAGGCGGAGCGACTGGCCGACTACCAAGAAGGGTCCGGGCAGGCCCTGGTGATATAATGTTGGCTCCTGGTCGTCTGCAGGGGTAAGTTGGGTCTGTTCATCCCCAGGGGCACTTTCGGTCTCGTCGTTATTCATCGTGGCGGTTTTGTCGTGCAGTTGTGACGGATGGTTGAGATGAGAACTGGATGAAAGTTGGTGCGAAAGGAAAAGATGCGCAACTTTGTGTATTTCAAGAAATACTTGCTGGCCATGCGGCTCAGCCCTTGGTAGCTTGCGCCAGTCTTGAGGTGAATTGATGATGTCTGATTCACTGGTGCATGAAATTCTTCGATGACCAGACAGTACCTTGGGGCGCTGATAGCGCTGGAGAACTAGCGTACCCAAAGCAACAAAGGCAGTGCGCCACAGTCTCCACATTTCGACAGTGAAGGAACAGTGCCTGAAGCCGTCACCAAAGGCTGATAGTGAAGTGTCTATGAGCTGTAAACATTATGAAAGAAGCATGGAGGCTTGGATTCTTCGATAGATCATTAACCAGGTCCATGAGCGTCTCGTATCATAAATTCACAATGCACCCAAGAGAGATCCACGATTTAGGTTCACCTCGTGTGTCGGCTGTGTAAGATGATTGGTGGAACATGACAGGGCCCTGTTCTGTTTTGTTGGTTCACTGTGAACGGATATCCACTGCTGTCACGGTGCTTGGGACTGCCTAAGTTAGAGACTTGATGGGTATCAAGACAACCTTGATCAAATGCTTCATATTTTTCTACAGAGTTGTACTCATTCCATGATACAAGGATTCAATTGCCCTTTGTTATCAAGTAACTCGCTATTCCAGCAACTGCATTATGTTAATGAGAACGGACATTTCTTCCACGGTTTTGTTCATGCACAGCATGGACTGTTCAGTTCTGGAAATAGCAATGAACCTAGGAATGCCAGTTCCGTGATAAACCTATCAGCGGCGATCTCATCGCATTGTAGACGCAGGAAATCACACAGTCTTTCTATAGCAGGACAACTTGCCAGTGCGCATTCTCTATAAAACCATGAGTCTTCTGATGAGGGCTTGAGCCTCTGACCTACCCTGCAAGACATGAGAGGATGCATTTCCACCCCACTTCAAGTCTGGCGAACGTCTGAGGATCCATGTGAGCAAATTGTGGGTCTGTCTTGGGGTACGCGAATCTCCCGTTTTCACTGGGGGTACTCAGTTTTAGGGCTCATCATCAATTTGACAGCAAACCCCCACTTTCTTTTTGTTCACATCCAACTTCTCTCAAGGATAACTGTTACCCATCCATCATTTAATCAAGGTCCAAGATCTCTCTCTTTCAACCACGCAAGGTCGAGCTCGGACTTCTCATCTCTTTCCTTACCCAATTTGACCCTCCACTCGGTTCTCTCTGCCGGAATAAGGTCTCAGCCGCAAGTCTCAACTACAAATAACACTTCTAGCCCGCAACTTGGACATCGATACCCTGACCTTCCACTTTCTTTGAACCTCATCTATCCAAAGCCTCATTCATTCAAAGCCTCTTTTCAAAGCACTGTGACCATGGAGAGTAAAAGCTATCAACTCCTGAAGACAGGCGCGGTATGTTCGCAAACTGTATGAACATCAACTTCATTTAGCATGTTGCGATACTTTGCTAACATACTTCTGCACAGCCTGAGAACCGTGTCGCGAAGGATCAACTTCACCAAGTGGCGACTCCTGAAGATCGCACTGTACCCTCTCATGGTAAGTGCATGTCCACAAGCTTGAACCGCAGAGTCAAACTGACATTCGTCAGAGACCCTGACACCGTCGCAACGTTTCTTGATGAAGCCAACATATGCTGGGGCCCTGCCGTTCCTTCTTTCAGTAGTAAGACTGCTTCGCCCCACGACAGAAGAGAGTTTGACTGATGACATGCAGAAGATTATCCCACTTCCACAGATGTCATAATGCGCCGCCTCCCTCGGTACCAACCCCTCATGCTGCCCGTGGTCATGTCTCCCAATCAGGACGGGAGGCTCCTGATGGCCCATCCACGGGACCGCCTGCAGAGCGAGATCGAAGATCTCAAGGCACAACACCAGTCGGGTGGCCAGGGCGTCTCCCAAAGACAGTCAAAGTGGTTTTGGGTCTTTCTGTCCTTGCGTAAGCTTATCTTGGTTGCGGCATTTGCCTTGATCATGTTCGTCGCTTTTGTTGCTGTCACCATTGCCTTGGCTTCATACATCGCTCCGTCACTGTTGCAGCTTAACGACATGATGGGCGTGCAGAATTCTGAAGTCAAGGTCCATGAAATTGCTGCGCGAGGCCCAAACAGCGTCTGGGACCCTCACGGAAGACCAGCCAGTCCGCTCGCCAGTGCCTCTGGGGCGACCTTCTCCTTGACTCTCAAGGTCGTCTCCGCGTGGGTGGAGGTCACTCAAGACATTGCAGGCATTTTCTTATTCGGCCGCCTCCAGTAGACGAATGCAATTGGGTGGGGTTATGTGGTCAACAACGCGTTCCCGAATATCTTCGTCTTGCGTGTCTGATGTTGGTGAGGGTTGGTGGAAGTTGTGGGCGAGATTTTTTATTTACAGTTGAGAGTTGTACACGAGAACTTGAATCAGCAGAAAGGACTTTGTGGAAATTGACATGATTGCCCCAAATTGGCTTGTGAATGCAGCGCGATATGCGGCTGTTCAACGATATCGGCATCTCGGCACGACCTAACATTGAATGAGGGAACCTAGAGCAAAATCTCACTCAAAGAGAAGGCGGCTCAATAAAGTTTCATTCTACCTCATGTGGTAAAGTTTCTGAAGTAACTATTGCAAAGCTGGGATACAACACATTCCTGATCCGATACCACATCGTAATCACGTAGTTGCCAGGTACCCAAATTGCCGAACTTTAGTTCTCCCCATCTTCCTCAGAATCAGAACTCAGTTCTCCAAGACACTCCGCAGGCATCTTCTCGGGACCACAACGGGCGGGCATCTGGGAGCTGAAGCGAGAGTTGAGGCCAATACTGACGAGAGCACACTGTGCTTGAATGCGCTGACTGTTGCTGATGTCGATCAAACAGGCGAGCGTGTTGATGGCAATGGCGTCCTGTTGCTCAGCGCGACGGTCCTCCGGATACGCCAGGTCGTGTGCATCGAAGTCCGATGCGAGAGCTCGGTTGGCCTTCTTACGAAGGCGAATAGTCTTGGCGTCAGATTCGTACGCCGTCTTACTGAGATGAGCATTGGCCTTGATGTGCTTGATCAAGCGGTGAAGCAGATCTCCCATCCGCTCATTTCCCTGGATGAGGTTAGTATCAGAGTAGCAGCGGTGGACAGGGGAAGTACTCACAGGGTAGCATTCAACGTTATCATCATCACAAGTGTCGCAGGGGTGTTCCTCAGCGTCGTCTAATAGGGAATCAGCGTAAACATAGTAGCTATAGGGTATGCGAAACCTACAGTCTCCGCTACAAAGTCGAGGAAACTCCTCGGTTGCCCGCGGGGACTTGCTCGGGGACCAGTCCATGGCGTTCCTGAGGCATAGCCCACAACTGTAGGGAACGGCGGCGGACCTGAAGCGGTCAGCAGGAGACTCAAGCTGGTTCAGATTTTTGAATGCGTAGGATTGGAAGAGAGAAAAAATGGGAGTTGAAGTGGTACAAAGCGAGGCTGAAAACGAGGATCTTCGAGTTGGAGATGAGAAAGTAGTACGGGAAACTCACATGCTGTCAGCGGTGATGAAGGTAAATGGATAGAACGAACAAGGAATCTTTGGCAAGGTTAGCAGCTATCCAAGGTTGTATCGCGCGTCGTTTTGCGGCCAGAGAAGAGGCTGTTGGAGGTACTGACATTGTTGTTGTTGTTGAGGCTTGAACTGGGGTGGAGTTGGAGGAGAAGCAACACAAGAGATCATGAAGCCTGCTGCATGGTCCGTGCGGTGCTCAGCGATCCTCAGAATTGCGCTTGGGTAAACAAAAGCAGCCCGAGCAGAGTTGGCAGTGCCTTGGAGTGGGTCTTGTGTTACTTGAGCCGCCCACCACAACGCTTCTTCTCGCAACCCGCAAGTCCACTCCTTGCTCACTCTGTCATCAAAGACTCAGGTTGACGCGAAAATTTGTCAAGACGACGATTATTAATCCACTGTCTCCCAGAACTGTATGTCATTAAGCTTCACTCAAGTTCACAAGTCTTTTACTGACCAGGCATCTCGACGGTGCAGGACTGAAGATCACCCACCCAACGCAATGTCGGAGCCCAAGAAGCGAAAGGCTGTCGAAAATGTCGACAATGACCCGGAACCGACAACGGGGACACAAAGCCGGGAGGTCACGCTTAGTGCCGAGATTGACCAATTGCGAGCTGAAACGAAGTACCTGAAAGAGTCGCTCGCAGACCTACGTAACTCCATCGCGAGCAAAGACAAGCTGGTCGACGCGCTGGAAAGAATGCTCGACACGGCGAATAAGGAAATTGAGCAATTGCGGGAGCGACAGGCGAAGGAGAAGACTCCTGAAGACTCCAGGTCTCTAAATGAACGGCTTCAGAATCACATTTTTGATGAAGCCCACGCTCGTTTCTACCCCAACGCGAGCACTAAGCCCAAATGAGTCTGGCAAGAAGTCCAAGAGTACAACGAATCAGTTTTGTTAAGGGCTTTATGAGAGGAAGGATACGTGTCTACGATGGAGTAAAGCGGGTGACAGAGCCTAGTGTTGGTTTTGATATGGCTGGAGAACAACAGGACGAATGGCTAGAATCACCATAGATGAAATTACACCGATGCGCTGCTCCGAGACCTTTTCATCCGCTTCAGTCTAAATTCGCCGAATTAATGTGTTTACGATAGTTTCTTGACGCCAAGTAGTTGCCTTCCGCGCTCAAAACGAACTGACCAACGACCTCCGGAAGCGCTTGATCGTCAAGCTAGGCGAACTAATTCGAACTCCCAAGACTTCGAGCCTTCAAGTCCATCCAGTGCGTAACAACGAAAGGACTCCCGGCGGAAAGGATGCCGAAATTAGTACCATTAGTTCTCTTTAGACGAAGAACATCTACACAGCTATCAAAAAGAATCATAAGACTATGAAGAAGGCCAACGGCGAGGGCTGGTACTCTGACGTTGCGCAGGAACTTGCACTTGCTTCCTACACTTTACTCAGACTTACAGAGATTCCACGCACAGGAGGAGGTAAGAAGCCTAACTACACGCATATCAGCCTCCAGAACCTAACATGCATGTCAAAGATACGCTTTGGGCTGTACGCTATTGTGGGCTAATTTGGAGGCATTGCCTGTCTTGTGAAACAGATGTTCTACCCAAAGCTGCTATTCCCTTGAGTACCTTAGTCTTGCAAATTCGAAGATTGTCGGTTAGAAAACACTTACCTTAGTAAATGATTACGTTTTTTAGCTAGGGTTCCACTCGTTTAGACATGACAAGGTAATCCGCCTGTGTGATTCTTTTTTATCATGGTAAATATTTTGCGTGTAGCCGGCCGGCAATACTCTGAGTAGGCTGGACTTCTTAGGGGGTATATACCAAAGTTTCAAACCAATCTCACGGGGGTAGTGGTCAGGCGAACCACACGCTAGGGTGGTACAGCGGTGAAGCCGCTGATGCTTTCTCCGTAGAAGCGTTGGACGCTTGCGGGCCGAGAGCTCTGCCTAAGACGCCACTACTTCTTTTTTGTGGATCGCGGTTTCGAATCCCCGGTATTGTGTAATATATATGACGTTTCCTTTTTATAATTTCAAGGATAGTGAGTGAGTGAAATGATTTAGGAAGGGCTATAGCTACATCCATCTCTTCAGGCTTTTCCTTCACAAACTACACACAAAGCCCTTAGCGTACTCTTGCGACTCCATCACAGTCCGCTGGGAGTCAACTACAGGGCATTCTAATTACTTGTTGGAGAAGTTTCGTGCAGTTGATGTGGTGGAAATCAAGGTGACACAGACCTCTAAGTAAGTGGTCAGTCGGCGGCAAGTTGCATCGGCCCTCGGAGGGACATGCGAAGTCAGAAGATAATGATCTCATCCATGTACTTGTCCTCGCGATGATCTCTCTCCCTAGATACTCCTGGCTGGTCTCATTAAACACTTTGCTCGGATCATGGATGAGGGAGTCTCTGGAGGTTGACGAGACTTCTGGAGTTTGAGTACGCCGCCCAAATTAACTGGTCTAAAGATTTACCAAGATTCACTAAACTTACCTAGATGTTTCCATACTTTAGAATAATTTACTTAGATGTTATCATCTCTTAGGATAGCTGTCCTAAACATCCGTACCTCACTTGAGATACGGAGGTTGTTTGTTATGGTGGTAGAAGGTGGGCCGGAATATCTACGGCTAAATCTCACTTCCGCTGCAGCTCGCCCACGGGCGTCAGCCATTTGTTTGCTCCAGCGACGTCACAGGGCATTTCTGTACCACCAGAGGCGTAGAGCTCATTCATTTGGTTGCCTGGCATCTTTTCCAGAGATTCTCTCACTTCTCATCCCTTCATCACAGTCTCATACATCCTCCTCACTTGCTCCCTCATCTTCATTTTACACCGTCGATCCCTTTTACTTCCACATCTTCACTTTCTCATTCACCCTCACCCATCGTCTTCGCTATCTACAATGAACGAGCTTATGGCAATGCTTATCGACCTGCCCCCCGAGGCTCATCTACGCAGGGTCGGGTATCCCACTGAAGCCGACCTCACCGACGCCTCGGCCTACCCATCTTGCCTTGTCCCCGAAGCTATCACCTACAAGTTTGGCACCGAAGCCCATTTCGCATTCCTCTTCAAGATTTGCAAGCGCAAGTGCGATGAGAACCCGATCTGCATCTTTTCGCCTGTCCGTGGCCTTCGGGCTCAGACTCACGATCCGATCTGGGGCCATACCTTCAGTCTTGAGCTTTGCCGCCTCATGACGCACCCAGTCTTCGAGATGGAGGGTACCGACAACCTTACTCTGATCCTTCAGTATGCTGTCATCTGCCGTACTGATGACCGACGCCCTTGGAAGATGCCCCCGATCCCTGATGGGGTTGAGCCGCTCAAACAACTCCGCGGCGTCATGCAGTCCTGCACAGGACCTTTGTCCACTCCCATCTCCGAAATCTTCGCAAGTCACTGCACCAACGAAGCCCCTCCACGCTGCGTCAAGGCTCGTGACTTGAGCCCCAACGATCCCCTCTATCAGGAACAGCGGGACGGACTCGAGAACTACCTTCTCGACCCGAGACATCTGATCTTTGTGATGCAACAGCTTGCCAAGGTCGTTCAAGACTCCCCGACGGAAGGTCCTTACACTACGAAGGAGCGCGGCTTTGATGTCTGCAGTGTGACCACGCTTGATCTTCAGAACATCCGCAGAGCCATTGACGCTATGGAACTTCATTGTGGTGAGGGTAGCGAGGCGAGTTTGTTTGAACTTCCTGTAGATCTTCTCTTCTCCCGCTATGTGGCCAAAGGTCAACTTGAGAACGTTGGTCCTCGTGACGCGGATGAATTGTCAGATCTGATTGTGGCAGGATCCATGAAGAGAGAGCGGGAGATCTTCGACACTACTCTCGGTCGGCATCGGCAGTGAATCATGGATGCGTTGGATGTACTCGACGAGTATCTCTACTTGGAGTTTGGCGCCAGATGCCGCCCCAGATTTAATGGTTCGTTCATCCCTCCTCATGAGCTCGAAAAGCCACAGCTAACTTTGTATCAAGGCTTACCCTTGACGCCTGGTGTTGTCTTATGTCTCATAGCTAAGGAATGGGTAAATGGTGTAGCGTAACCTGTATCCATAGACTCGGGAACAGACTATAAACATCTCACGATGTCCACGGTGCGTGTGGAAGCGTCCCCGTCTAACGTGTTTCGTTATTAAATCGACAAAATCTTTCCAGCCAGAAGTATTGTACGCCTCAGGTTGGTGGTTACGCGGTATGTCGTTTCCAATTATGCCTTTCCACTGTTCGGGCGTGATCGTTGGTTGATACGCCCCTTCGCGAAGAATAAGGCGCGGCTCAGGTTCTTGACTGATGGAGGCGAAGCCGTGGGATGGGCCTTGGGTGTCCATGATTTTAAGTGCTGCAGTGAATCGTTGCAAGTGCAAAGAAATATTCGTACAAGATGAAGGCTGAGTGGATGCTTGGTTGGGAAAAGTTGTATGATTGAGAGCTTGTTTGTTTGTGAAGGAGAGAATCTAGCATCATTCAACAACACAGAAGGTTTGGTTACCTTGAGATTTGATGCAATTCTCGGCAAATCCAAGATCGCTACCTACCACGGAAAGTCCACGACGGGTTTGGCAGGTAAGCAAGGTCGGGGCTGTCATTTCCATGTTCACCTCAACTCCTTCCACTTCCACACAGCGAGTGGGTGCGCACTTGCAGGAGCACAGCTCACTCGAGCTCACAAGGCAAGTCTCGTGTCTCTCGAATCTCAACATAACACAATCAATTGCTAACACCAACAATCGCTAACACAATCAGTCAGTACAGTCAATCACTATCACAGTCTATCACTATCAAAGTCAATCACTATCACAATCAATTACCATCACAATAAGCTCCAAGAAAAGCTTCACTCTCAATCATGGACGATGAGACTACGGAGGAAGTTATGTACATGACTGTCCTCGGATGTGAACTTGCGAAACCGAATCCCCTTCGCCCCGGCGTGAACCGATCTCCCAGCTACTTCGAAACACTGAAGCAGTATTGCCATTTGCCCATCATGCAGAAAGAGGGTTTCAACAGGTTCCTCCAACTTTACATGGATAGCCAGGTAACTACAACTACAACTACAAACATCCTCCCTCTATTGCGATTCGTGACTGATCAAGTGCAGGTGGTGGTCGTTAACCCTGAAAGCTCTGCAGACTCGATACAGCTCACCAAGCGAGTCATGTACCTCGAACTCTTCAAAGACCTACAGGTTCTTTGCACCCAACCTGACAATGTCGCAACCAGAGAGTTGGGTCAGCGCGTCGCAGCAGAGCTTGACGTCACATACGGTGAACAGGTTGGTGTTCAGTATCGGAAGTACAACAAGACCAGCGACAAGACGCTGTTGAGGTTTGTGACAGAGGGCATGCTTCTCCAGATAATCGGTGACAATCCTACCATGGCCGGCTATGTAGGTGTTCGAGTATGCCACCTTCGATTTGTCTAGGGGCTAACTCATCTTTCCAGTCATGCCTCGTCCTCGATTTCTACGAGCCAACAAGTAACGTCGATCGTCTTCTTCCTCTACTCAAGAAAGCCATCGGTCTCCGCTACGACCTCCAAGTCGTCATCATGTCAACAAAATACTTCGAAAAATTCGCTCTTTACTTCGACGTTCCGCATGGCCTCACTATCGGAGGGTCTTCATTCCCGGTTGGCGTCCAGCACGTAATTGAAGCTGTGGCTGACTATTGCGAGACGGCTTGTCACACGGTGAATCAAATCCATCAGGACCAATCCCCAGGTGATATCCTTGTCTTCTTGGCAACTGACATCCATGTTGACCGTGTGGTCGCGCAGCTGCGTGGCGCTATCCCAGATATGGAGACTTTGCCATTGTATGGGAAACTATCTAAGGCAGAAAAGGCGAAAGCCCTTCGTTCTAGAGACAAGAGTAGGTGTGTTATTACCACCAACTTCGCCGAGAGTAGTAATACTGTCGAAGGCATTGTCTATGTCGTTGGTAAGTCAATAGCTATCCTCATCGGTGGCGACAAGCTGATGTTTGCTGTAGACTGTGGTTTCGAGATGCAGTCGGTCTATAATCCTCGCGTTAGAATCGCCACCATCCAACCTTGGCCAATCTCCAAACCATCTGCCGATCTCAGAACTGCATGCGCCGGAGGAGGTCGACCAGGGCTATGTTACCGCCTATACACGAGGGAGATGTATGATGCGTTGCACGAGACCTCGTATACCAGTAGCCTGAAAGACTGCGTCCCAGCCGCCATTTTAGCTTTGAAGAGTGCAGGGATCAACTCTATTGGTACTTTCAACTTCCTCGATCCTGCGAGTGAAGAAGTATATCTCCGGGGGATAACGGACGTCAACGCGATGTAAGCATTCGGACATCGCATTTCTTCCTCCTCTTCTAAACATCTTACGCAGGAATCTCATTGATGAAGTCGGGATCATCACTCCAGCTGGCAAGGTCGCCGCTACGCTTCCCATCGATCTCACCTGGTACAACGCATTCAATGAGGCCATCAAGCTAGGCTGCCTGTCTGAACTCATCGACATCGCTGCTCTCGCGAGCGTGAAGAACCCCATATTCCTGAGGCCGCATGAGACACAACATGCAGCCGATTTGCCACACGGTCAATTCACAGCTCCCTTGTCGGACCACATGACGGAGCTCAACACTCTACGCGCCTATTTACGCACAAAGCGCAGCATGTCAACTCAGGAGCTAGCTACCTGGTGCAATGAAACGTTCCTGAGTTCTGAGGCACTAGAAGAGGCGTTGGTTCTACAGAAGGATTTAATCAAATGGTGCAAAGCAAAACTTGACGTTTCTGAGATCTCAGTTCTTACCCCGAATGACAAAGACTACGACGTCAAGATCCGCAAAGCCATCGCCAAAGGGTTCTTTCTCCACGCTGCGATGAGGGACGACTCTCCTCGACCTGACCAGTATCGAACACTGAAGGAGGGCTATCATGTTTGGATTCATCCCAATAGCGCTCTTGGTGGCGGGGATTGGGAGTGGGTTGTGTATCACAAGATTGAGCCTACTGGCTTCCAGTACATGGATCGTTGTACTGTTATTGAACCGACGTGGCTTTTGGTAAGTTTCATCTTCTGGATTTGAATATCGGTTAACAAGCTTTCTGGAAGGAAATCGATTATTTCTACCCCCTCCCTCTGACCAAAGACTATGGTGGGAAATTTTGGTTGAAGCCACTCCGAGCAATCATTGATACGATCAATTCGTCCGTACCACACGGGATCGGCGGATGAATTCTCCTTTAATATCAGGCTTATCTCGTACTCTTTCTTGCAGTTCTTAGGCATCACTACCAATACAATGAAACATGGATAGATTCGGGGAGCGGAGAAGGAAGCCAATTTGGTATTGAGTTATTCTTTCAGAAGAGGATGTGATGGGGCAAATTGGTTTGATCGGAGTTTTACTGAGCGAGCAAGCGTACATTATGCTGTATAGATAAAATGAGTCCCTCGATGATATTTTATGCTTCTTCAGCAGGGCTGACCAGCTCCTTGCGTGTTTGTGATGCCCCCTTGCCACTGCACCCCCTTCTTTATTTCATCCAGATCCTCTCCCCCATATAAACTTAAAACCTCTTCTTCATCGTCACTCAAGGCATTGCATTCGAGGCAGGTATCGCTCTCTCTTCCAGGACACAACAGGCCCGGATTACTCCTGGTGCAGCGTCGGATTGTCACCCTCCTTGGGCATCGGAACAAACAGCCAAGAAACGCTCGTAGCGACCAAGAGTGCACAAAGAACAGGCTGAAGAATTGAGACTCCGGCGCTGGCGGCGATGAGACCAGTGATGATGGGGAACAGACAACCTCCAAGCTGCGCGAATACAAAGACAAATGCCAAAGCTGTTGATTGAATACGTGGATTGAACAGTTTGGAGCCAACGGATATACCCTGGTCTGATTAGTTGCACACTTTGAGGATGGGGAGTGAACTCACGGTGGCAAAGTATGGGCCCATGAAGAAGCCGAGTAGACTGATGGCGATGGAAGCGGCGATGATGTTGGGAACCCTACAATGTCAGCTCAATCTTCAGAATCACAAGTCGGACTCACAGCCAAAATAAAACTTGCAGCCCAATACTGAGAATTGTGAAGGCAAATATCATCGGACGAACTCCAAACCGGTGTGTAGGTTCCGCAAGAAATAGTCTCCCAAGTAATGACCCTCCACTGAAGCCAGCTGGTACAAAACCCATCTGATTGATGTCGCCGTTGCGAACCTCGACCAAGTACTCGACGACCCATCCACTAGCTGTAAGTGTTGCGCCAAGGAAGAAGAAGAAGAAAAGACTAATCAGCCAGACGTTTTTGTTCTTCAAAGTCTCCTTCATCAACGAAAATGCATCGTCGTTTCTTGACGCGGGCGATTCATCAGCTTCCAGCGACCGCTCAGTAGGCGCTTGCTTCCTCTTCAACCTCAGAGTATCCCAAAACGCGTATACCACGAACGCGACGTTCAAAACACCAATACCAAGTGGGAAAGTGTAGAAAAGGTACCATCGCGACGTACTCCCCGCCGACGCAACACCCGTCGCCACAAAAGGTCCAACCAGACATCCAGCCATGTACATCGCATGAATAAACGCCAACCACCGATGCGACCCCCTCACCCCAGAAACAAACGTATTCCCATGTGTATCCTGATACGCCTGCCCCAAACTCGCAAGCCAGAACGTGATAGTGAACAGCGGAAAGGGGGGTTTCCAAGATCGGAGCGCATGAGCGATGACTTGTAGAACAGCGCCGAGTGTGAGCATTGAGCCGAGATCGAAGATTTGGCAGAGATGTGTGTTTGAGAAAGCGCCGAAGAACCAGCCCATGAAGTTGGCGCCGTAACTGTCATAGTCAGTAAGAGTTGGGTTGGGGAAGGGGAAGGGGAAGGG